CACACACACACAGCCCTACTGAATTAGAATCTACATTTAAACTTGACAAGGGCAGTTACACACTCTTTCTCCAAGACCAGTTCGAGACCCACCAGCAAGGATGTTCCCCCATCCAGGGCCGCAGAGAAGCGACCTCTCTCCCTCCTCCACACCGAGAGGGGCACTTGGACCTATACCTGTGTTGGGCACTGACGGAGGATCCCTTCCTGGTGGTGGTCCTCTGCTGGCTCGTCTGCTGACCAGGCTGTACACTCTGGTGGGCAGGGACCCTATCTGGTCCGCTCTGTGTTGTCACTCTGCACGGCTGTCCACGCAGCAGGAGCACACGTGGTAAGTGAACCAGTGACTTCCTCAGCTTCCTCCTGTCCAACAGATTCAGCAGAGGTGGCACCGGCCTCCTTGTTCCCGCCCTCACCTTCAATCACTCACATGTGTATTCCAATTTAAAAGGATCAAGGGGTGTCTCCTGTGGCGCTCTGTTGCTAGGAGATGGGCTAGAAAGCCCTGGGAGACTCAGTCCAGTGTAAAAACTCGGTGACTCCGTGGTTCCGCTCTGCTGGATTAACCAACACTCATAAGACTCCTGGCTGTTGTGGGGTTGGCAGGGGTGGGTATGGAGCAGCTATGAATTAAATATGGAGTCACTGAGCCGCCTTGGGGCCATTCCTGGGAACTGCATGTCTCCTGTGCGTCACCACACACTTCCTCAGAGTCCATCCATCTGAGATCCATCAAGAATTTATGACAGCTCTAGCTGGTTTGGCTCAGGGGGGAGAGTGTTGGCCTGTGGACTAAAGGGTCCCAGGTTTGATTCCAGTCAAGGGCACATGCCCGGGTTGCAAGTTCGATCCCCAGTTGGGGGCGTGCAGGAGGCAGCCAATCAATGATTCTTTCTCATCATGGATGTTTCTATCTCTCCCTCTCCCTTCCTCTCTGAAATCATTAAAAATATTTTTTTTTTAAAGTTTATGATAAACATAGCCACAAAAATTAAATTCTTTCCAAACCCCCACTAAAATGAAGAAAAGGGATTTAAAAAGCATAAGACTATGAAGACAAGGCAAGAGACATCTGTGAGAATTAGCAACTATTGAACTAAATCTTTTTAAAAATATATATTTATGTTGATTTCAGAGAGGAAGGAAGAGGGAGAGAGATAGAAGCATCCACGATGAGCTGACTGTGGAAGGACAGAAGTTACACCTCCATGTCTCAGAGGAGGATGCCAATAAAAAGTGAGCAAATTTGCCCCGAATCCCCAGAGTTCCCGGATTCAGGGGCACCGGTTATCATGGGGAGGTCAGACATGTGGCAGGCAGTAGGTTAAAGGTGGGTTGGGTAGGAAGTTTGTGTAAAATGGTGGGATCCCCAGGTGTCCCTCCCTCCCCCTTGCAGCCAGGAGCTTGTTATCTGCAGAAATGGAATGACAAAGCCTCAGGCTCAAGGACGCAGGCCTGGGGAAAGGTGGGGATGAGGCAAGGGTCCAAAAACATGGAGTTCAGAGCACAATGGCATCTCGAGGGATGGCCTCCTCAGATTCGCTCCTTCTCCCTTCCCTAGAGTTTTGGCAGCCAGGCACACGTACCGAGATAAAGGATTAGGAATGTCTCCTCTGGAGAACCTGGCCTAAGAGGAAGACTCACGATACCACTGGCTGGAGCTTTACCAACGCAAAGGCCAGGTCATGGCAGAGTATTCTGTGTAGAAGGGCTTCAGTCATCAAGGCAGATAAACACGCATAAAGCTTCCACTCTCCCTAACACAGAGTGAGTCACCCTAACATGTAGAAAAGTATAGAAAAACTAAGAAAAATCCACACACCTGACACCCAGAGTCAGCAGATATTTGCATTCAGTCAGACCTTCAGTTCTTCATCTTACAGCTGCTGAGTGTTACAGTTGATGGGCCGTGTGCTTTCACCTTAACATAAAAGAGAGAATAAAGCCCTAGCTAGGGGTGTCGAGCTCAATCAGAGAAGGGGCCAAAATCTAAAATCCAGCCTAAATCGCGGGCTGAATGGTTTACTGAACAGTCATAAACTGTCATTGTGATGGAAACGCAGCGGAGTGCAGTGATGACAGCGCGGTGCGGGCCACATTGCAAGGCCTGGCGGGATGGATTTGGCCCGCGGGCCTTGTGTTTGACACATGCCGGTTTGGCTCGGTGGATAGAGCATCGGCCAGCAGACTCAAGGGCCGAAGGTTTGATTCCGGTCAAAAGCATGTACGTTGGTTGCACTCAAGAAGGGAGTGTGCAGGAGGCAGCTGATCAATGTTTCTCTCTCATCGATGTTTCTAATTCTTTGTCCCTCTCCCTTCCTCTCTGTAAGAAATCAATAAAATATATATTTCTTAAAAATCTTCCTTGTTTACCTCTGGGTCCCTCAGCCTGACTGTCCAAGAAATAATGTTAAGTGAGCGAGTGAGTGACGGTTGATCAAACTTCACAGGTGTGCTTTAAGTCTGACAATAAGGGTGAGCAGCTTCCCATCCCCACTGCAGACATCTGAAAATACAGGGTAAGTATAAATCGGAGACGCTGGCTCACTGAATCTCTCTCTGTCCTAAAACACTTCCTTCACCTGCCTCCCAGGACGTGGCTTTCGACCGACCTCACTCGTCCTCCTCAGCCTTGTTGGAGTCTTCTTCATCTTCTTGACCACTAAGTGTTGCTGTGTCTCAGATGTTCTGTTAGTCCAGCATTGTTTGTTGAAAAGACTTTGTCTTTCACCATTGGATTGCCTTTGCTCCTTTGTCAAATATCATCTGATTACCTGAAACGAATACAAAATAATATGGAATGTAACTATAATTGAAAAATAAAAAATTTAAAAAATCACCTGATTGTATTTGTGTATGTCTATTTCTCAGTTCTCTATTCTCTTCCATTGCTTTATTGCTCAGATTGAAAATTATGGGACAATCTGTTGGCAAACAAGGCAAACCTGTTAGATCCTCAGTTAATGCGTTGACAGTTTTTACAGTTTTGCTTCATCATTTGCTGTCACTTGGGCACAGATGACACCAAGTCCATCTGAAATGTCTATTCAAGCAAGTGTGGTTTTGCATGGTATGAAACACAGCACAAAAATCTCTGTCTTGCCCTGGATGGTTTGGCTCAGAGGATAGAGTGTCGGCCTGCAAACTGAAAGGTCCCAGGTTCGATTCCGGTCAAGGGCACATGCCTGGGTTGTAGGCTCGATCCCCAGTGTGGGACTTGCAGGAGGCAGCCAATCCATGGCTCTCTCTCATCATGGATGTTTCTATTTCTCTCCCCCTCTTCCTTCCTCTCTTCTTTTTAAAAATAATTTGTTTTTCCTTTTATTATTATTTTAAATCCTCACCTGAAGATATTTTACCACTGATTGTGTGTGTGTGTGTGTGTGTGTGTGTGTGTGTGTGTGTTTAGAGAGAGGGAAAGACAGAAACATCATGTGAAACACAGATTGGTTGCCTCCTGCATGAGCCATTGACGGGGAGGAGCCTGCAACCCAGGTAAGTGCCCCTGACCCTTCAGTCTGAGGACCCACACTCTATCCACTGAGCCAAACCGGTCAGGACGGGATAAAGTCTTGATGTTGGCCATCTCCCTAGGGAAGAACCCACATCCACCCCCCACAGACCCAGACGAGCTTCAGTCTACTGTCCATTCAGGTTACCCCAAAGCCACACTTCTGTGGAGTGAAGGAGGAGAAAGCCTGGGGGTGCTGGGCCAGGCCCGGTGTGGAGTTAGCACTGACTGGGAGGCATCCAGTCCTGGGTCGGCTTCTTCCTTGCCTGTGACCTTGGAGCAAAGCATGTCTGCTCTTGGGAGTCTTGGTTTCTTTCCTCTGCGAACGATGGAGACTGAACAATGACCTGAACGGTGTCTCCTCTTGCTGAGAAGCTGTGTCCATCTTGTCTGGTGTCATTTCTCGTGTGTGTGTCCCTAGGGCAGTGGCCAGCAAACTCATTAGTCAACAGCCAAATATCAATAGTACAGCGATTGAAATTTCTTTTGAGAGCCACATTTTTTTAAACTTAAACTTCTTCAAAATAGACTCGCCCAGGCCGTGGTATTTTGTGGAAGAGCTACACTCAATTGGCCAAAGAGCCGCATGTGAGCCGCAGTTTGCTGACCATGGCCCTAGGGTCCTGAGGCTGATTGAGTCCATTGGAGCCTCTCAGCGTCTTGAGGGGACACAGCCCTGGCTGTTGGCTGGCCCGGCGACAGGCCTGCACCGCCCCCGCCCGCCTGCAGAGGGCGCTGCAGACACGCCGCGGAGGAGGGAGCCCGCGGGCCCGGTGGCGGCCTGGGCAGCGCAGCCTCCGGGACGGGCTTTGGGAGAGGACGGAGGCCGAGCACACGGGGTAGGGACGAGGAGGGGGCGCGGAGGACAGAGGAGGGGGAGCCAGGTAGGAGAAGGCGCCGCTGGGGGACCGCGCCGGGGCCACCCCTGCACTCAGTTCCCCGGTTCGGGACGGAGCCCCGCCCGGCGTGCGGCTGCCGCTCGCTGGCCGCGGGGCGGCGGCGGTCAGGGAGCGCGGGGATTTGCAGTCGGACCTGGGGTTCAGGTCTCGGCTGCCGCTCGACGTCGGAGGAGCCTCCGTTTGCCCATCCGTACATGGGGTTAGCGAGGCGGCCCCGCCGGGCGGGCTGCGTGAGGCTGGAGGGGTCCCATGTCCCAGAGGCCGCGGGTGGGCTCGGGGCAGCAGCCGCGGGGCGCGGAGCGGGATGGGGAGCGCGTGGCGGCCTCTCCCGGAGGCCCGGGCCCTGGTGGGGGGGAGGGTAGGAAGAGAGGCGCCGCTCCCGGCGGGCACGGGGGGTGGGGAGGGAGCCCAGACCCACCCGGGAGGCCGATCCCCACGCCCCTGGCACCTCGCTTCTCTCCTCGGACCCCCGCCCGGACCCGCGGTCCCCGCTGTCACCTGCGCCGGCGGGAGGCGGGCCTTGGCGGAGCTCGGAGCGGACAGGGGGTGGGGCGAGGGCCGGGGGGCGGGGGCGGGGGCCGGCGCCCCGCGGAGGGTCCGGCCACGTGACGCCCGCGGCCCGGGGCGGCCAGGCGGGAGCGCGGCCCCGGAGGCGGCGGCGGGGGGCGCGCAGCCCGGGCCGCGGGGCCGGCCGTCGGGGCGCGCCATGGAGAAGCTGGCGGCCGGGCTGGCCGGCCTGCGCTGGAGCATGGGCGCCTTCCCGCTGGACCTCATCGTCAGCCGCTGCCGCCTGCCCACGCTCGCCTGCCTGGGGCCAGGTATGGGGGTGCGGGGGGGGGGAACGCTGGGGTCCGCAGGGAACGGGGGGGTGGGGCTCCCCAGCAGGTGCAGCGCCCTGCCTCCGCCTCCCTCCCCGGTGCCGCGCAGCTCCGGGCGCACCTTCGCGGGGACGGGGGGGGGGGGGGGGGGGGTTCCGCCTCGTCCTGTCGTCCTGGCCCCGCAGACGCCGGGAGGGAGCGGGCTGGGCCGGGACCGAGTCCGCTGGCCCCGCTGGGACCCAGAGCCCCGCCGGCCGCCGCGTTCGCCCCGTCGGTGCGGCCCCTGTCCCGTCGCCCGCGGATCCCCGGGCCGCGCCCCCACGTCCCTTTGTCTCCCACCCCCGCCCCGTCCGCCCGCACCCCGGGCCCGGGTCTCCGTCTTCCCTCCGCCGCCCCCAGCCCCTCCCGTCCTCCCCCCCGCCCCCCGGGCCCTTCTCGCCTCCTCCGTTCGCGCCCCGGGAGCCCCGGGGTCCCTGGGGGAGCGGTGCTCCCCGGGGTGTGTCTCGGCCCCGGCCCCCCCACGGCCGGCCCGCTTCTCCCAGGCCAGGCTGCTCCGCGGCGGGCCGTGCGGGACCGGGGACTGCGTGGGGAGGAGGCGGCTGGCGGGGGAGGGGCGGGAGCGGCCGGCCGGGGTTTTGTGTGCGAGAAGAATAGGGGTTTGGCCCGCGCTGGCTCACTCGCTTCCCTGAATGCTAATGGGGCCGAGGCCCGGCTCCCCTCCTCTCCCTCCGCTCCGCTCCGCGGCCGGCAGCCCCTCCTCTGCCTGCGGCCACCGGGCGACCGGGCCGAATCCTCAGACGGGGGTGCCCCGCAGCCCAACGCCTCCTTCTCCGGATCCTCAGCTTGTGATCCCGGGTCAGCCCGTGTGGGCAGCAGGCTGTGTGTCCGCGTGCGAATGGAATATCCGCTGGCATCCCCCCTCCTGGGGCGGGGAGGGGGTCCAGGCCACATTTGCGCTCCCACATGCTGCTCGCGCCCTGGCTTGTCTCCCACCGTGCACGCCCGCCGTCAGGGTCAGTGCATTGTTTTCCGCTGACCTGCAGGCTCCATGAGGGGGGCATCCTGCCTCACAGAGATTGGAGGGACTGACCCTCCCGCTAGATGAATGAATGAGTGAGTGAATGAGTGAATTAGTGAATGAATGGATGAGTGAATGAGCAGCTGGTGTAATGGCCGGGCTGTCTGTGACTGGTGGCTGTGGCTGTGGCTGTGGTCACCATGAGTGTGAATATGTGATCAAAAGTGTGTCTTGAAGTCTTGAAGGTCCCCTTGTGCCTCATGCATTCGGAAGGGGCCCTTTAGTGGGGCGGTGGGATGAGTAGTGTCTCTGGGGTGTGGGCCAGGGGACTGTGCTGGCTCAGCTGTTAGTGACCATGAACTTGGCCGTGGGTGTTCAGAAGGATGGGCTGGGGCTTGGGGAGCTTTAAGATGGGGCTGCAGAGTAGCAGAGCTTCCTCTGCCCAGAGGAAGGCTCAGACCACCCCTCTTCCTGGCCACACCCACACTCAGGGGGAAAGCCAGGTCTCCCCGCCATCCTGAGCACATTCAACCCCCTCCCCCCTTTCAGCAAACCCACAGATTCCACGGAGCGCCCAGCCATCGGAGTAAATCATCTCCCGCTTGGTTGGACAGTTAGTAAGTTGTGTCTGAGGGGGCTGGGAAGGAGGCCTCCTCCCCCCTCCCGCCCTGCCCGCCAGCTGCAGCCAGGACACAGCTCACCCGCCTCCTGGAAGCTGGACCAGCCTCCTCTCCCCTGGAAACCGTTGCTGGGGTTGGAGCCTCCGGGGCCCAGGCCCCGCTCAGCACCCCTGCCCCTGTGCCTCCTCCCCGGCTTCCAATCCACCCCCTTCTCCAGCACGAGGGCGGACAGAGGGAGGGCCGAGAAGCAGCTTCTCAGAGGGGGGTTTGTAGGTGTCCGAGACGCGCTCCCCTCTTCTCTGAGGCCCCCCCGAGTGGAGGAGACTGTCTGTGGCGATGGCTGAAAAGGGGCTGCCCACAAAGGACCCGGGAACCAGCCCCTCCAAGCCCGGCCGTCCCCCTGGCCTGGGTGGCTCGGGGCTCAGGGGAGCCCTTACAGCTGGTACCTACAATGGGCAGCCCATCTGGTCTCTCTCCATCCTCCAACCGGACCCTCCTTGCCTGGCCTGGGCACTGACCACTGACATGGGGGCCGAGAATGCTGCTGCTGTGAGCTCAGGTGGTTCTGAGGCCCAGCTTAAGTGTCTGCTGCTCAGTCATCTCCTTTCCTCACCCCGTCCTCAGCGAGTGTGCAGCTCCCTTCTGTGAGCCCCGACAGCCTCCACTCAGCGCCTCCCACTCGGCCTAGATTCTCCGGTCACATCTCTTTGCACTCCCCTTTCCCCCCTCCACTCTCCCCGCTCCCCGCCGAGACCTACCGGTCCTGCAGGGCAGGGCCTGGCCCCTCTGCTAGGAGGGCCTGGGACAGCGGGCAGTCCCATCAGATGATGAATGAAGAGCAGCATCTAGGCTCGTTGCTGAGGCCACGTCAGGAGCCCAAGCCCTGAGAGAGGGCCTTGACTCAGCGGTGAGGCCACAGCTGGCCGTCTGTCTGTCCCTAGCGCCTTGCTGACCGGGACAGGGACCCTGGGGAGCTGTCCTGGGGAAGGAAGGGTCTTAGGGAGAAGGTATGGAGAGCATCTTGCCTATTCTCTCTGGCCCTCCTAATGCTCTCTCTCTCTTTCCTTCCTTCCTCCTCTCTCCTTCTTCCCCTTCCCAGGGGAGTATGCAGAGGGCGTCAGTGAACGGGACATCCTGCTCATCCACTCCTGCCGCCAGTGGACCACAGTGACGGCCCACACCCTGGAGGAAGGCCACTATGTCATCGGGCCCAAGATTGACATCCCCCTGCAGTACCCAGGTGTGCCGGCCGGGACGGACGGTGTGAGGCCGGTGCGGGCGGTGGGCCGGAGGGCATTGTGTTGGGAGGGGAAGGCTTGGGGGAAGCTGCTGGTGACCAGCCTTTCCTTGGAGCCCAGGGGTGAGTGAGGACAGGGCTGGCAGGGCGGCGATTAGGGTTAGGGTTAGGGCCCAGTGGGTTTTATACTTTTGTGTGGAGTCCTGGATTTCTGGTTGCAAATCGGTGTTTCACGCTTTATTTTAAAAATAGATTGTAAACAGATTTTTAAAATAGCCACACTCTTAAAATACTATAAATCTAACCCTAATTAGAGACCTTTGGTATGTACCTCCAACTGCCTCATTAATCCTTTTTAAAAAAAAAACTTCTTTATTGATTTCAGAAAGGAAGGAAGAAGGAGGGAGAGAAACATCAATGATAAGAGGGAGTCATTGATTGGCTGCCTCCTGCACGCCCCCCACTGGGGACCGAGCCCGCAACCCGGGCATGTGCCCTGGGCCAGAATTGAACCCGAGACCCTTCAGTCCCCAGGCCGACGCTCTATCCACTGAGCCAGACTGGCTCCTGCTCATTCACCCTTCTTTGCAGAGATCCCCAGAACATTTCCTGCCATCATCTTGTCAGTATTGTGCAACCAAAAAGCTTCAGAAACGGCCCGGCCGATGTGGCTGAGCAATTAGAGCTTCGCCCCCTGGCACCAAAGGGTCTTGGGTTTGATTCCTGGTCAAGGCACCTACCTGGGTTCCAGGCTCACTCCCCACCCCAGACTGGTATGGGTGCAGGAGGCAACCAGTTCGTATGTCTCTCTCACATCGTTTCTCTCTTTTTTCCTCTCTCTCAAGTAAAAAAAAAACCTATTTTTAAAAATCGCCAGAAACAGAGAGATGCTCAGGCTGATAATCTGACTGCACCTGTCAGCTTTACCCTCGATTCCCCCAATTTTAGTGTTAAACTCGTTGTTTTCATTGGTTGGCTTTATAAGTGAATGTTAACGTTAGGCTTTTGAATAAGATTGTGCTTAATGAACTCCCACTTTGACTTGCGTTCTATATGAGGTTGACGTCTTACATGAGATTTTTGCACCACCCCAGGAACACAGGGCTGTGGTCCCCTGTGTGGGAGGGACGGGGGTTGGGGGTCCCATCCAGAGGTGCCCCCACGGGAACCCAGGATCCCACCACATTCCAGACGCATTATTTCATTCTCACAGCAAACCTGTGACCAAGTCCTTTCACCTCCATTTCACTCACATGGACAACAGCCCCGGAGCTCAGGAGCTTGCCCAGTTCTATGATGTAGCTGCTACCCCTCCTCTCCGCACCCAACAAATGCAGGGGACCCTTTGGGCTGGGAAGGCTCCCAGCCCCTTCCTCACGGGTACGCGGTTCCCCCTCTGGCCCTGCCTGGGTCTCCCCGGACCCAGTGGGACAGGACTCAGCCCTGTGAGGTTGGTGCCACCGTAATCCCACGCCCCATTTAAGAGATTAGGAAATGCTAATCTCAGTGTCTTTGGGACCTGGCGGAGCCCGGGAGGGGGTTCCCTGCAGCCAGAAGCTTTCCAGCTGGGGAGAGGCCCCAGGTCTGTTTGGGATAAAAAGCAAAGATTAGAAATAGTCCTCATTCACTGCCCGGACTGTGCCATTTCCCTTTGTGTCGTTAAAAATTTGGGAACCCAAGGCCTAGAGCCTTCTAGGGAACTATGGGGGCTCCAGCCCTCCTCCCCATGCCTTTGGGTGCTCCCTGAGTGCGTGTGTAAGGGAGGGAGGGGGGGTTGGTCCGGTGACAGCTGGCTGCAGGGATGTGGCAGCCCCAACTCCATCTTCCCGGTGGGCGGCTCCGGCCTGCCCAGCTGGGGGAAGGGAGGTCGAGGCCCCTCGGAGGGAGAGGGGCCTGTCTGCCCGGCTGGTGGGTTAATGAGGAAGCTGAGTGCACGGCTCACTGGTTCCTCTTAATGAATTAATAATAGGGCCGGCGGGCGGGCGGGAGCAGCCGGCTTCGGACGCCCTGATGGCGGGGGAGGGGAGCTGGGCTGCGGGGCTTGGGATGCTGCCCAGGGAATAGGGGTACCTGGCACCCCTGAGACAGCCCCCCACGGCCCTGCCCGGGGCCAGGCTGCTTCCCCAGTGTTGGCCAGGGGCTTGAGAAGCAGCCACAGATGAGCCCTCGGAGCCAAGAGGCATCTTTCATTTTACAGATGGGAAAACGGAGCCCAGAGAGGTTAAGCAGTTTGCCCAGGTCACACAGCGGGGTGGGGGCAGAGCTGGGGCTTACCTGCCCTTCTTTATGGAGCATCTGCCCGGGTCAGGGCTGGGAGGAGGGGGATGGCAAGGCTGCTTCTCACTGGGAGGGACATCCTGTTCGGGGCGGCCAGGAGCGGGGGAAGGCGGGGTCCAGCAGGTCCCCAGAGTCACGGGGACCTCGGGTCTCACATCGAGGGGGGCAGTCCCCGGAGGGGCTGCAGGGGGAGGAAAGGGCTTCCAGGGGCCGGAGCATCCCTCCTGGGAGGGAGGCCGCCCTTCCTCCCTCCCTCCCGGCAGCGATGACCGGTGCTGGGCTCCGGGCTGCAGCCGAGGGGGAGGCGGGTGGCGTTGGCTGCCATGGTTACATCGATCTTCCCTGCCACATCCTCCCCTGGCTCCAGCCCTGACTTGGCTCCAGCTCGCCCCACAGGGGGCAGCGGGCATTTCTCCATGCCTGGCTGCTTGTGATGGGGCGGGGTGGGGCGGGTGTGTGTGTGTGTGTGTGTGTGTGTGTGTGGATGTGGGGGAGGAGGTGGGGTGACGAAGGGGGGCCACTCCCTGTTGGGTGGTAGCAGACCCTGATTGCTGCTTCCCGGCCACGGGTCACTGCTCCTGGCCGGTCCCTCCCCAGTCTAGCCCTCTGCCCTCTGGGGCTGGGGGTCTCAGACTGGGGAGGGCAGGACCCAGGGGGTCTTGTCCCAGCTTTCTCCTGAGCACTGTCCCCTCCTTTCCTTGGCTCTCATTTCTCTTCCCGTGCCTAGGCGTTGGTGCTGTAGGCTCTGCCCTTGACCCTCTGCTCTTCACACCCTGTACTGGGAGGCTGGGCGGGGGGGACTGTCCCTGTGCTCATGCAGTGAGCACATCCCCAGTAGGGAGTGTGCAAGAGACAGCTGATTGATGATTCTCTCTCATCGATGTTTCTAACTCTCTATCCCTCTCCCTTCCTCTCTGTAAGAAATCAATAAAATATATTTTAAACAAACAAACAAAACACATATGGGGCCAGTGAGGTGAGAGAGTGCCTCCGAGCGTCGCTGTATGGGTGATCCCCATTCTTTAAGGCCCGAGTCCACTGGGGACTTCTGCTGAGCCGGCCAACACGCACTGCCCTAGACTGCAAGTTGGGAAGGCCGCATAGGGGAGGGTAGGGAGGAGATGGCTTTGCTGGGCTCCGAGGAGAGGCCTCTGGGACAGTGGAGCTGAATGTTGGACAGGGGCAGGGGCTGGGAACAGAGCTGGGGTCAGAGTGGCTCTTCCTGGGCCTCCACGGCCTGAGGCTGGGCCCCTGGTCCGCCCAGTGGGTCAGCAGGTCCAGGTGGGGCCCACTATCATCTGCCCCAACATCCTCAGAGGAGGCCCTGGAGACCCGGAGAGGAGAAGGGACTTGTCTATGGTCATATCGAGCCAGAGAGGGGCTGGGACCAAGCTGGAAGCCAGCATCCCCCATGCCACGGTGATGTTTAGTCAGAGCTAACTGTGTCCAAGTATTTGGGTTCTAGTTTGCACTTGGCAGTTTCTCTGGGAAGGCAGCTGCTAGCCTCATCCTACACCCTCAGCTCTCCGTGGGGCGAGGGCTGGGCTCCAGCTGCTAGCGATCTATGCTCTCTCCCCATGAGGTCTGAGCCAGTTGGCCCATGCCGCTGCAGACCTGCCCGCCTGCCCACCTGAGTTCCAGAGGGGCTGGCTGGGATGAGGGGAGCAGGAAGTGGGGGACCACGAGGTCTCTTGCCAGCTCCCAGCAAGTGGGCCCCCCCAGCAGCCTCATCTCCTCCTGACAGGGAAGTTCAAGCTCCTGGAGCAGGCCCGCGACGTGCGGGAGCCGGTGAGGTACTTCAGCAGCGTGGAGGAGGTGGCCAGCGTCTTTCCCGACCGCATCTTTGTGATGGAAGCCATCACCTTCAGTGTCAAGGTCAGTCCTTCTGGGCCCAGCCATGGTGCCCCCGTGCTGTCTGTCCCCTTCCCTTCAGAGCAACTCGGACCCTGCCTTCGGGTCCAGCAGGTAGAAGCTGTCCCAGTGTAACTTCTGACTGCCGCCTGAGGGCCATTGGCACAGAAGGGCCATGACCAATGAAGCTGGATGTATGACCTTCTGGGCTGAAGAACTTCCTGCAAAAGATATGAAGCAGGAGGAAGTGTGTGGAGGGTCATGCCTTGACTTGGAGGCCTTTTGGGGAAGTCTATCCTTGCATTCACTGGTAGGGGTGGTGGTGGGGACAATGCAAACAATCCTTCACTGTGTACAGATAGCTCTTTTTAAATATATTTTTATTGATTTTTTTACAGAGAGGGAGGAAGAAGGATAAAGTTAGAAACATCAATCAGCTGAAACTGATTTGGTTCAGTGGATAGAGCGTTGGCCTGCAGACTGAGGAGCCCCAGGTTCGATTTCGGTCAGGGCATGTGCCTTGGTTGCGGGCGCATCCCCAGTAGGGGGTGTGCAAGAGGCAGCTGATTGATGATTCTCTCTCATTGATGTTTCTAACTCTCTATCCCTCTCTCTTCCTCTCTGTAAAAAATCAATAAAATATACTTAAAAAAAAGAAGAAAAAAAAAAGAAACATCGATCAGCTGTCTCCTGCATACCCCCTACTGGGGATGTGCCCACAACCAAGGTACATGCCCTTGACGGGAATTGAACCTGGGACCTTTCAGTCCCAAAGCCGACACTCTATCCACGGACCCAAACCGATTTCAGCTAGATAGCTCTTCATAAACCCTTTTTTTTTTTTTTATCCATTAATTCTTCTCAGGAGCCTTGTTGAATAGGTGGAGCATTATCACCCAAATTACAAAGAAAATGATAAAAGTTGTCCCATATTGAATATTTTCAAAGTATGTCACCACATATATAGACTGTTTAATCCTTAGAGCAGCTTTCCAAGTAAGTTCTTAGATGAGATAACCATGTGGCCTCTCTAGGGTGGAATGTGGGTCCCTGATAGACCCCCCAGTCAAGTGCTCTTGATCAGGCTCAACCTGGGAGCTGCCATCCTGGAGCCCGGAGCGCCTCACAGGGCTGGCTTTCCCTGGGGCCCTGGCTGAGGCCTCCCCATTTTCTTCGGGGTCCCCAGGTGGTGTCGGGAGAGTTCAGCGAGGACAGCGAGGTGTACAACTTCACGCTGCACGCGGGCGACGAGCTGACGCTGATGGGCCAGGCGGAGATCCTGTGCGCCAAGACCCCCAAGGAGCGCTCGCGCTTCACCTCGCTGCTGCGCAAGCTGGGCCGCGCGGGGGCGCTGGCCGGGGTGGGCGGGCCGGGGGGCGCCGGGGCCGCGGGCGGGGGCCCCAGGCCCGTCAAGGGCAAGATGCCCTGCCTCATCTGCATGAACCACCGCACCAACGAGAGCCTGAGCCTGCCCTTCCAGTGCCAGGGCCGCTTCAGCACGCGCAGCCCGCTGGAGCTGCAGATGCAGGAGGGCGAGCACACGGTGCGCGCCATCATCGAGCGCGTGCGGCTGCCCGTGAACGTGCTGGTGCCCAGCCGGCCGCCGCGCAACCCCTACGACCTGCACCCGGTGCGCGAGGGCCACCGCTACAAGCTGGTCAGCATCATCTCCAAGACGGTGGTGCTGGGGCTGGCGCTGCGCCGCGAGGGCCCGGCGCCGCTGCACTTCCTGCTGCTCACCGACACGCCGCGCTTCGCGCTGCCGCAGGGCCTGCTGGCGGGGGACCCGCGCGTGGAGCGCCTGGTGCGCGACAGCGCCACCTACTGCCGCGAGCGCTTCGACCCCGACGAGTACTCCACCGCCGTGCGCGAGGCGCCCGCCGAGCTGGCCGAGGACTGCGCGCCCCCGCGCCGCGCGCGCCTCTGCCTGCCCGCGCCCCCGCGCGGCCCCGCGCTCGCGCCCGCGGCCCCCGCCCGCGCCCCCAGCCCTCCCGGCGACGGCGACCAGGAGTACGTGAGCCCCGACTGGGCCGGCGCGCCCGAGCCCGCCGCCGCCGCCTCGCCCGCCGAGATCCCCTACGAGGAGCTGTGGGCGCACCAGGCGGCCGAGGGCCCGGCGGAGGGGCGCCCCCGGCCGCCCCCGGGGCCCGACCTCATCAACTTCGGGACCGGACCGCCTTGCCCCGAGCTCGAGGCGCCGCCGCCGCCTCCGGTGCCGCCCAAGTCCGAAGCTGTGAGTGCAAGGCGGGGCGCTGATCGGCCGCTCTGTCCTCCAGGGAGGGGCCGGCTCGGGGGCTCCCTATGGGCCCTGAAAGCAAACCCTCCTGGGCGCCCGGCTCTCGGAGGGTGTGACAGAGGGTGGCCGATGCGTAGGGAAAGGGGAGGTTCAGGGGAAAGGGTGGCAAGAGCATTTGTACCTCAGGACAGCAGGGACCCAGGCTCGGGAGCCGTGGGACCAAGATGCCAGCAGGTCTCAGCCACAGACCGCTTGCGATGAGTCTAGAACAGCGTGACCCAGCAGATTTTGCAGAATAATCTTTTATAAAAAATGTATTTTATTGATTTTTCACAGAGAGGAAGGGAGAGAGATAGAGAACTAGAAACGTCGATGAGAGAGAAACATCGACCAGCTGCCTCCTGCACAACCCCTACTGGGGATGTGCCCACAACCAATGTACATGCCCTTGACCGGAATCGAACCTGGGACCCTTCAGTCCGCAGACCGACGTTCTACCGCTGAGCCAAACCGGTTTCGGCTGCAGAATAATCTTTTACGTTGTCCAGTGAAGAGCAGGTTCCATGGTGAAATGAGTTGAGAAAATGTGTGTGGGACCCCCAGCCTTCCACTCTCCTCCACTTGTCAGTTACAGCGACTGGAATATTAAGGCTCTGGGAAGGCCCGCGCTAAGGAAACTGCTTATCTCAGAATTTCCCCACTTAACTGTGCACGGAAAATGCCTGTTAACCTCCCATAGAGTCCATGTTGAGTATCTGACCTATGAGTAAGAGATCCAGAGACAGATACTTTAATCCCCTCCCACGCACCGCGCCTCTCCCCTCTTCTTTCCTTTTTGTGTGAGGAGGGAATGTCCATTTTTCTGATTTGTTTTTTTTAAGAGTAAGACAGGGCTCTACTTAAAAAAAATTTTTTTTAATTGGTTTCGGAGGGAGAGAGAAACATCAATGATGAGAGAGAACCATTGATCGGCTGCCTCCTGCACACCCCACACTGGAGATTGAGCCGGCAATCCCGGCATGCGCCCTTGACGGAATCGAACCTGGGACCCTTTAGCCCGCAGGCTGACGCTCCGTCCATTGAGGGCTTTCTGGTTGTCTTTTGATCTACTTTTCTACATTCTTTTCCCGACATTGTTTATAGGTTTCCAGGGCAGTAGAAGACTGTGTTTGTTGTGGGCTCTTGAGGAGTGAAGCTGGCTGGAGAGAGGAGGAGGGATGGGATGGGCGGGGTAGGCGGCTGGTGGAGGAGGTGGGATGTAAGGCGAGGCAGCCTCGTGGCAAAGTAGGGCAAAGTATTAGTCAGTCTCAGAGTCTGGAGTCCGTTGTCCGGGAAAAGAAAGAAGGAGTGTCGCTGCCTGGGGACAGAGGGTGGAGCCATGCCCTCTGCTTGCAGGTGAAGGAGGAGTGCCGCCTTCTCAACGCCCCGCCCGTGCCTCCCCGGGGTGGCAGCGGCAGCGGCTGGCTCCCTGGCAGCCCCCCAGTGCCCCCACGCTTCCCCAAGCTGCAGCCTGTCCACTCGCCCAGCTCCAGCCTCTCCTACTACTCCTCTGGCCTCCAGGACGGGTGAGCCCTCTCCTCTCAGCCCCGGGTTCTCCTGTGGAGGGTGGAGGCAGGGAAAGAGGAAGGGAGGCCGGGCTGAGGCAGAGGAGACGGCGGGCTGGGGGTTCGAAGGGTGCAAGTCCTGGAGCCGCACCGAGGGAGAGCGCACTCCGGCGGGGGGCGGGGGGCGGGGCCCAGCCCTGCTCTCCGTCTGCTCCTTTCCTAAATGTGAGGACTGGACGGGAGCATTGTGCTGGTTCCTTCCAGACGGGGGGGACTCTGCCCCTGGATGGTGTTCCTTGCTATTTAACATTTTTTACGTAATTCGGTTTCATTGACTTTTTCCTGGGGTTGGGGATGCCTCAAGAAAGCATAGAGCAGCCCCCGAGGTCCCGGCCCTGTGCTGCTGAGATCGGCGGCAGCCTCTGGCCAGCGGAGGGGCGGTTTGCAGCGCCGTGTGTGGGACCTGTCGGTTTGCCTCTCGCTCCGTCTCACCCTCCGTGTGTCTGTCTCTGCCCACAGCACGGGCCCCCGCAGCGGCAGCGGCTCCCCGTCGCCGGATGCCTACTCCCTCTACTGCTACCCGTGCACCTGGGGAGACTGCACAGTGGGCGAGACCTCCAGCCGCCCCCCGCCGCCGGGACCCCTGCCCTCCACCACGCAGCCCAGCCAGGCCCCACGGGCCCTCGCCGAGCCCCTGGGCAGCCGAGCTGCCGCCCTCTTGGGGGCTGACACCCCTGTCAAGGCCCACCACGGCTGCCCGCCGCCCCTTCTCAAGCCCTCGCACCCCCAGAAACGCTTTGCTCCGTTTGGAGCCCTCAACCCCTTTTCCGGGCCTGCCTACTCCTCAGGCCCTTCGGCGGGCTCCTCTTCGGGGCCCACGACCGCCTCGGCTGCCCTGGCTACCTCCAGCCCCGCGTATTCCCCAGGCCCCGGCTCTCCAGGCCCGGCCTATGCGGCTGCCCCCGCCGCCTCCTGCCCCACCTCCTCCTCCTCTTCCTCCGAGTGGCAGGAGTCGGCCCTGGAGCCCTTTGACCCCTTCGAGCTGGGGCAGGGTGGTTCTCCAGAGCCTGAGCTGCTGCGCTGTCAGGAGCCCAGGGCTGTGGGGGTGCCTGGGCCTGGACCCCGCCTCTCACCTCTTGGACCCCCCAAGGCCTTCGAGCCCGAAGGTTTAGTGCTGCGGCAGGTCCCCGCTCCACTGTCACCAGCGGCCCCCAAGGGGCCCAAGGCGGGTGGAGCACGCCTCCTCCTCACCCCAGGGCGCCTGGAAGGGCCTCCTCCTGCCAGTCCCCGGGAGGGCGCCGCGGGCTGGGGAGGCCGGGAGGCGCCCTGGCAGCCCCCCGCAGACCTGTCTGCACTCTCCGTGGAGGAGGTCTCCCGCAGCCTGCGCTTCATCGGGCTCTCCGAGGACGTGGTGAGCTTCTTCGCCCGAGAACGCATCGACGGCAGCATCTTCGTGCAGCTCAGCGAGGACATCCTGGCTGACGACTTCCACCTCACCAAGCTCCAGGTCAAGAAGATCATGCAGTTCATCAAAGGCTGGCGGCCCAAGATCTGACCTTCCCGGCTGGCAGCTGCGCAACCGGGAGGCTGGCACGGAGGCCCGAGGCCAGCCGTGCTCTGCGGGGGACGGCGCTCCCAGAGGCAGGTGCTGCCTGGGAGGATGCTGAGTAGCCGCTCTGTGAATCCAGGGGAGCCACACTTGGAAATGGAGTCCTCTGGGACCAGACCCCCGCGGGGGGACGGCTTGCCTTTGAGTGAGCAGAGTACGCGGGGAGAGGAGCGGAGGCCCCAGGCCGCACCTGCACCTGGCGAGGCACTGGCTGACTCCCATGTGGGGTCAAAAGCTGGCCTTCGTGGTGACCTAGCACTGCCCCCCACGCCGAAGATCTTCACAGACAACTCGCACTTTGTTTGTAGGTGCCGGCTAGCAGGAAGAGAGCCGTAATTTAAGCACAAATCCCCCAAGTGCCCTCTCTCCTCTGTGCCCTGGGGACTTCTGGCCTAAGCTGCCCCCGGGGTCGGGGAGCCAATTTCAGGACCTCTGCGATGCCTTCCCTGCCCCTCTGCTGCACCACGAGTAGGTCCCCCGCCCTGAGCACAAGCGGATCAAGTACAAGCCCGTGCCGTTCACCTTGGGCCCCAGGCCGGGTTCTGGTTCGTGGGCGATGGCTTAGGAACAGCACAGCGCTGCCGTTGATGTATGTAGCTCGTCGGAAGCAGATGCCTACTGACACCCTGGGTTCCCCTGAGCTCAGTGCAACTGGCCCTCGCCTGCCAGGTGGGCCCAATCTGCGAAGGCTCTGGCTCCAGGGAAGAGCAGGCTGATCCTTGATTCTGACACGTGGCTTTCAATCACTCCCACTTGCACTGGTCTCCTGCCTCCATCACTTGACTCTGGCAAACACCTGGTGTCCTCCCCTGGTTTCCTGTCAATAGTGCGCAGGTGGGGTGGCTGGGAGGAAGCAATGACTTGGGAAGACCTGCCTTTGCCCACGTGTTTTAGGGCCCGTCTTTGGGCCCTGATCTCGAGCGTTCCGTGGCACCCAGGGCAGGTTGGTCATTGTGTACACCCCAAGCGCTTCCCGACTCGCCTACCCGGACCACATTAATTCTCATGCTCACTAGTGCCAGGCCCCGGAGGCACCAGCCTTCTGCCTTACCCAGTCACCTAGATATTTATTTCCTGCCTTGAGAATAGCAAAGCCATGTTGGTGCCGGTGACCCCAGCAGGCTTCCCCAGCTCTGGGGGAAGGGAGTCAGGAACAGCACTGAAGCAGATGCAGAGACATTTGGTTTCCTTGCTGATCGGGTAAAGGACTCGTGAAATAAACGCTAGACGCTGAGGACAGTGCCAGCGCAACTCCCGCCGTCAGCTGCTTGCTTCCTGTGCAGGACCCTGGGCATGCCCAGCAGGAGAGGACTGGGATGGTGTGTGCCTGCAGCCCATCCATGTGTCCCCAGAAACAGCTGGTAGTGCTGCCGATTCCCTGCCGAAAGCCCCTCACCAGCCCCTGCCCCAAGAGCTTTTCAGGTCCCACTACTGTTCCGACGGAATTCACACCCACCTAGTGCTGTTCAGGGGGAGGACCAGACTGCAAAGCTCCATGCCACCAGCCAGGGCCCAGGTTCAACTTCCTGCGCTGGCAGACTGCCTGCCTGGCGCTGAGCCCCACGTTCTAAAGCCTGTTTTGTTTTTTTTTTTTAAAGATGTTTTACTGATCTTGGAGAGGAAGGGAGAAGCAGGTAGAAACATCAGTGATGTGAGAGAATCACTGCTGCCTCCTGCACACCCCTTACTGGGGACGGATCTGCAACCTGGGCATGTGCCCTTGACCAGAATTGAACCCGGGACCCTATCCACTGAGCCAAACCAGCTATGTGGTGCGAGGATCAGTTCTCTGCCTGCTGACTGGTCATCTGAAAACCCCAACTCTGACGACTTGGTTTGAGAGCCTGGCTTCCTAGCAACCAACTGCCAGTGTTTAGTAGAGCCAGAGGTAAGGTCCTTGCCTGGCAGTCCCAGCAACAGAACTGGTGCAGGCCATGGTGGAAGTACCTGTGCACTCAAGCTGGTGCAGAGGCAGGAGGAACTGGTAACTTCTCCAAGTTGAGAAAGCAGTGATGGGACATGGATTAGGATTCCGCGCGCACACTGCGTGGATCCTGCTAGAACGAGCTAAGAGCCTCGATGCTGTTGACCCAGACTGGACCCCGCTCCTGCCAGAACGTGAGCGTAGGAACTTCCCACAGCAGAGGGCAGGGCGCAGGGGAGGAGAGGAGGGTCTCCCGGAGTGGAGGTGGTGGGCTGACTCAGCATCCCCTGTACTGCTCACACGTGCTGCCTCTGCTCGCTGTGCCGGCATTTCCCACGCTCTGGGGCACTGAGAGGTGCAGGAACCCGCGACCAGGAAAATGTGATCTCTGATTGATGCCAAGCTTCCCACAAACACCTGAGAAGCATGTGTGAATGTGTCACATAAGAAAAAACCTGGGTAAAGCTCTGCCATGAGGAAATGCAGTCTAGGGAAAGAGTCTGTTTATATCTTGGTCCTCCATACCTGGTTAGCCAGGCCACTTCCCAGTGTAAGCAGAAGCCCCGCCAAAGCAGTTCAATAGCCAGGAAGTCCCACCCTCTGTCATCACAGTCTCTCTTCAGGTGCCGCTCAGAACTCTTAACATGCTTACCCCAACGCACAGGGCTGTCTCCCAGCCCTCTCCTTGAAGGAGGGGTCTAAGCCAGAAGGGCAAAGACAGTAGGAAAAGGCACAAGCAGGCAGGGAGGCTGATAAATAAGTTTGGTTTTATTATCCTGCGTTTGGCTGAGTGTGTGATTGCCCTCGCCACCACTGGCTTCCTGGGCGAGGGTCTTGGGGCTCACAGATTGACGAGCACAGTGGGTTCCACCTTCCACAGGAAGTGCAAACACAGCCAGACTTCACGCGGAGGAAGAGACAGTCTTAGCCGAAGGCACTTTTATCAAGGCACACACCCAATGCCAGTGTTTGTCCTCCCTCTGGTTACGGATAAATCTAGGTGCCCTCTGGTGGAGATCAGCACTGCGGCAGGTGGGTTAGTGGGGAGCGAGCAGGGGGTGAGCTGCTCACTGGTAAAACTTCTTGCCAGCGCTAGCCTGGTCAATCAGCAGCTGGCACGGGGTGAACTGCTTCCCGTAGGCGGCCTCGTACCTCCTGAGCCGGTCCACTATCTTCTGAGCACCGTACAGATCCACGAAGCGGAAGGGCCCTGCGGGGGAAGCAGGACTTTGTTGAAGGAGACAGACAGCCACTGAGCTCTAGGACAAAGCAAGCCACCTCCCCAGCCTCCAAGGCCCACCTCCAAGACAGGGGGGGAAGCCGAGTCCAAAGACCGCTCCGATGTCTCCCTCCGCAGGTGTGGCCAGGATCTCTTCCTGCAGGCACAGGGCGGCCTCATTCACGAACCTCGACACCAGGCGGTACTGGATGTCTTCGTCGGAGGAGCTGCCCACAGGGAGGGGCATTCAGGCGGAGGAAGAGGAGGAGGGGAGGGTTGCGGGAGCCACACAGGGATGAGAACCCGCCTCCCAACTCGAGAGAAGGTGCTGTCAGGAGCCGGCCGCTCCCGGGAAAAGGACTGGGTAGAACTACTTGCCCTGATTAACCAGAAACAGCACCTAGAACAGGGTCTGCAACAGACTAGGTAAGTACCTCTAGGTATCGGTAATGGTGAATTACAAATGAAACTAATGGGGTTGTAGCCGGAAGGGGCCTGGGATAATGGTCTTCCTCGCTGCTCTCTGGGACCTTCGGAGGGAAGGCTGGAGCAGCGTCTGCCAAGGATCGGCAGCAGTTCTCCCCTAAACCTGGCGGAGAAGGAGGTGGGTGCAGAAGGCAAAAGTACAAAGCACTGTGCCAGCATCGGGGGTGTTCTTGGTCAGCCCTGGTGACCATAACAAAGGCGGAGGAGGGGCTGAGCAGCTTTGGCTGATGAGGAATGTTTCCATGCCATAAGCCCCTCAAACTGACTTACACTTCAGGCTTAGGAGACACCTGCAGACCTGCCAGAACGCTATCCATGTCAGAATTCAAGTCCTTACTCTTCACACCCTCCTTGTAGACGTAAAAGCCCTTCCCAGACTTGCGACCTGGAAGAAGCAGGAAAAGGGAGAGGTAGCATTCTTGGAGCCCGGGCCTGGGAAATCACTGCCCTCCCTGCTGGTCTGCGGTGAAGTTCCTGCCTCACGCGTGTTCCCGAGTTTTGGAACTAACCAGCCCTAGACATCTGGTGTTTGCCAGAGAGCTCCCAGAGAAGGAAGAAAGGTTTGGAAATCAGTATCTGAATGGAAAAGGCCAGCTGGGTGAGTTTTAATGCCCAGATGTGCAACACCAGGACCGAGGATGCCCAGGTCCTGGCACTGATTTTGCTGGTACGTTCAAAAGAGAAAGCCGCCTCTCTGCTGGGCCTCAGTGGTACCCTCTGTAGGCAGAGGTTTACTTTCTCCACACAGGCCCGCAGCGTGGTGATGCAGGTCACAGATGAACGAGGCCTCGGGCAGGATGAAAATGCCCGTCGGTCTGGCGTTACTGGGCCAGGTAGTGGCAGCTTCAGAAGGCCAGGGTTTTACCTTTTGTCTGTAACCTAGACTAAGGAGGGGTTGTCAGGAAGTCATCTTTGAAATTCCCTATGAAATCAGGAAACACACACGGGCCTTCTGTTACTCCTTGGTCCCCAGAGGCTGCTCAGAACTTTGTGACTGATGCAGCTAGTTATGTTTCTTTGAGGATACTCACCCAGGAAGCCCTTGGACACCATCTGCTTCAGCAGCTCCAGGCTTCCACCTGCAAACCTCTCCCCAAAGGCTTTGCCTAGGTCTTCGGCTACGTGTTTTGCTACATCCACACCAACTTCATCCACCAGGGTGGCAGCACCCACAGGAAAGCCGAAGCCTGTGGTCAGGGAATCCAGCTTCTTAGGGCCAATGCCTTCCTGAATGGGAAGGAAAGCAGGGACCTCAGGGGAAGGCCATCCCTGGTCCCCCACACGGGCTCCCTGTGCTTGCCTGTGCAACACCCACTTCTCTTCTGGCTGCACCTGGCCAGGCCCAGGGCTGGGACTGCTTCAATTAGGGAAACACAAGAGGTCTGGGAGTCTCACAGGCAGCCTGAGCCTTCCCTAGCCTTTAAGAAGTCGAGAGAGGAAGAGGTATTCATCTCCTTGTCTGTGATTCTGAATCTCAATAAGCAGAGGATTCCATGGCAGACAGGGCTGGTTTCCAGGACTGAGAGGAGAGAGAGTCCAAGGAGCAGAGCCCCGGATCCCGTGTCTAAGTGCCTCTGAATGAGCTGTATGGCCACCGGGGGGATCGGCTTGCACAGAAGCAGACACAGCACCAATCAGACCACATGGGATCTGTTCTGGAAGGCCCCTGCCTCTAAAGGGATGCAGAACAGCACAGAAGAGCATGCTGGGAGGCCTGTGGACTAATGGAGCTGAGAGGAGGCTAAGGGAGCAGAACCAAAATTCTGCCGCCTATGGCTCGCCACCACCACACAGAAAGGGATGCCACGAAAGGGCCTTCTTGGAGGAGAGTCGAGTTAGTGGATTAGAAGGAAGCTTGTTCCTTATCCTGACATCGGCAGCTCGGGGACTGGTTTACGGAGTGGAAGAGGCCTCAAACATTCCGAGAGCCATACCAACCTGGAGAATTCTGATGACTTCAGACATCATGGGTGCGAGACACCTCGTGGTATAGAAGCCAGGTCCGTCCTGCCAAAGGGGAGAACATGAACTTGGGGCCCCTCTGTTGAAGATACTACCCACGTCTGAAAGCAGTCTCCCTTTCCCAGATATCATTTCAGAGTTCAAGGTGATTATAACCTCAATCAGAGTCCTTAAAATGAAATTGCAAGGGAAGCCACAGCCAGGAGCGGCGGGGCTTGAAGCCAACCAGCACAGCATGTGGTTTCGTGGTCACCTGAAAGGCTGGGAACCTGCCACGCCCCAGACTCTCCCCACTCCAACCCTGACACTGGCACAATCAACACCTCTATCCATATTGTACATCATCAAGGGGACATCCTATCAAAAGGTGGTATATTTGCCCCAGACGAGTAATAAATAAGCCTGGAGGTCTGAGGAGTCTTAATAAAACTTATCCAAGTCTGCCACTCTGTTCCACAGCTCCTTACCTTAACCACAATGATGACCTTCCCCTGCTTGAGACCAACTGCTACCGCGGACGCAGTCGTGTCCTTAGACGTTTTCGGGGTTGTGATAATCTCCAGCAGCTGCATCTTGTCCACAGGAGAGAAGTAGTGCATGCCAATCACCTGGCAGGGAGAACAAAAAGCCCACAGGTCTCACTGAGGAGGAAGTTCAGCAGCTT